CCACTCCTCTCCTCGTAGGCGCACATTCGGCATACCCCTTTTGCGCGTCTCCAAAATGTGCGCCTATATAGACATTTCCACGCGAATCCACTCTTCTCATACCCCTACCGTGCTTCTCAAATAAAAAAAAAATGTTCGCCTGGTTCAGCCTCTTGGCCGCATCGGGGCGCTCGAACTACTGAAAAAAAGTGGGCACACTCCGTAGCATGGCAGTCAGCAATCTTCCTACTCATTGACTGCTTTTACGCGACCAAGACTGACTGCTGTGCAATATTTCGATGCACTTGCTTGCGGCTCGCTTTTACCAGGAGCAGCGTATATCTCGTTCGCGATCTAAAAACTTTCAGCACTTTCACGAGTAAGGGTATCGTAGGTGGAAGAGGCGTGTTAACTCCCGATCTGACTTCAACACACTAATATGGTGGTGAGTATTTGCTTTAATCTGATTGGTCCTTGTTATTCTGATGGTATTACTACCACGGAGAGCAATGGTATATGCGTGGCTAATTTAATATTTCCGGTGACTGACAGGTGCCAATACTATGGCGAGTAATGGCGTTCGCAAAAAACACTTTATATTTCCCGGTGATCCACGGGTACCAAAACCATGGCGAGTAATGGCATTCGAGCAAAAACACTTGATTTTTCCCGGCATCCACGGGTACTGATATTACAGCGAGTAATGGCGTTCGCGCAAAAAAAAACACTTTATATTTCCGGTGATCCACGGATACCAATACTATGGCGAGTAATGGCATTCGCGCAAAAAGAAACACTTGATAGAAAGAAAGAATCTTTAGAAATTTGATAACTTGCCACTTACTTTTATTTTTAAGGGAAAACTTGGTACAGGCGTTGAACCAGCGCAGACAGAAACCGCGCTCGAAGAAGATCAAGTGGCAGTAGAGGCGGACTCTGATTACCATTTGATTATTTGAGGGTGACAAAGAAATTCGACTGTGTCCTCGCTTCTTAGTAGACTAGGTTATAGCAGAGCTCATTACTCAGTCTACTTCAAAGGGTATCGTCGAATGTCGCGTGCCAAAGTGAACTGATTTTCCTCTGGGCTTGCGGGCCTTTTTATTGCGAGAAGCGGACCTTGGTCTTGCGCTGGCTCAAAAAACGCAGGAAAACTTGCCGGGGGAAAATTTTGAAGAAAAGATAATAGCTGAAAATCTAATTGGCTAGAACTGCTCTAGTTTAGCCACTTAGAAATTGGCACATTTCACATCCGGCTTGTTCTCCTCTATGCGTCAAGAGAAGGGAAGGTGATTCACTTACTCATGCCCTTCCTTTCCCTTTTACATTAAAAGTTACAAGATTTTATCATAACTTAATATTAATGTTAAGATGTGGTATTAATAAGTATTAAAAAATAGTAACCATTGTTCACCCATTCAATCGAACCCAATGCAAAAAGAGCGGTGAAAATCGCTTAATATTCAGGTTTGATTGAATAAATGTTCGGTACTGCATGGTATTAATAATAGCCTTAGTAGTAGTTAATTTTAGATATTAATAACTACAATAATTGCTAGATTTTCCGCTGTACACGTGAGCATTGATTAGAGTAATAAATAATTATGAATGATTAATTAACAACAGCGGTTTCTTTGGTTAAAACACGTACATCTATAGAAACAGTAGTGGGGGGCTCGTCGCGAACTATTATATTGTTAACATGTGTGGACTCTCTCTCTCTCGACATCTCTGTGTCAGAAAAAGGGGGAAGTGCCCTTACTTTCCCGTTTTCCTTTACATTTAAAACACTGACAGTTTTTAATAAGATTACAATTGGGGCTATTGCAGTATGTTTATGAAATTGTTAATACGATACAAAAGGGTTGTGCAGTAAACCATGAGCCTGCGAACATAAATGGAAAAAATCGGATAATAGTATGAAAGTCAATAAGATTGCTTTCATAGGTTTATGTGATATTGTTGGTGGCTAATGGTGTACAGGTATAATGGTTTGGCGTGTACAGGTTGTACTAGCCATATGTAATAATTATATCATTTGATCATATTAACGCTTCGTCTATGGGTCTTAACTCTAAGTTATTCTAGTTTTCAACATTAAACTCGATTTATATATACTAATATCTAATATTAAACCTCAGCGCAGATATTCCCTGNTCCCTTTTACATTAAAAGTTACAAGATTTTATCATAACTTAATATTAATGTTAAGATGTGGTATTAATAAGTATTAAAAAATAGTAACCATTGTTCACCCATTCAATCGAACCCAATGCAAAAAGAGCGGTGAAAATCGCTTAATATTCAGGTTTGATTGAATAAATGTTCGGTACTGCATGGTATTAATAATAGCCTTAGTAGTAGTTAATTTTAGATATTAATAACTACAATAATTGCTAGATTTTCCGCTGTACACGTGAGCATTGATTAGAGTAATAAATAATTATGAATGATTAATTAACAACAGCGGTTTCTTTGGTTAAAACACGTACATCTATAGAAACAGTAGTGGGGGGCTCGTCGCGAACTATTATATTGTTAACATGTGTGGACTCTCTCTCTCTCGACATCTCTGTGTCAGAAAAAGGGGGAAGTGCCCTTACTTTCCCGTTTTCCTTTACATTTAAAACACTGACAGTTTTTAATAAGATTACAATTGGGGCTATTGCAGTATGTTTATGAAATTGTTAATACGATACAAAAGGGTTGTGCAGTAAACCATGAGCCTGCGAACATAAATGGAAAAAATCGGATAATAGTATGAAAGTCAATAAGATTGCTTTCATAGGTTTATGTGATATTGTTGGTGGCTAATGGTGTACAGGTATAATGGTTTGGCGTGTACAGGTTGTACTAGCCATATGTAATAATTATATCATTTGATCATATTAACGCTTCGTCTATGGGTCTTAACTCTAAGTTATTCTAGTTTTCAACATTAAACTCGATTTATATATACTAATATCTAATATTAAACCTCAGCGCAGATATTCCCTGTCAACCTTTTGCATCTGTTAGTTCTTTAAAGTTATTTTATTATTTTACGCTTTGAAAAGTATTTCATTTGATTTCTTTTCCGGTCAGCATGGGCCAGCATGTATGTGAGTCTTGCATGATCGTAGTACCTTAGCTACGAGCAATCTTGTAGGTGATTCACCTCTTTGCAGATGCACATTGGCCCCTGCGTTTAGTGTTATAAAATCGGCACGGAAAGTTTTGAAGAAAGGGGGAAAAAAAAATTAATGTGGATACACCGATATAACAGTTTTCTTTCACAACTACCAAAAATTAACCTCTGCAGTTTCAGCTTTCCACTGAGCATGTAAAATTATGTACAATTAAAAACTTCCAAAGCTATTAATGACACTATTTACACTATAACTACATCAAAGATATAGGCAGATAGTGTCATTGGCTGAAGTGTTACAGCTTTTCATGTCAGAAAAACACTTGACTCTACTTAGTACACACTAACACTTCAGCCTTGTAAAGTAAAATTTGTATCACATATTTCCGATATGTTCAAAACGACTGACAAATTTCTACCAGATTTTCGAGTTCTTAGATAACTCAGGCCTTAACTGGCTGATAATGGGCCTCCTCTATTAGTCTTACCCAAGCATTTGTCCAGCACTCCTACTGATCTTACATCAACCGTGTAAAATAATACAATATTTATCACGCTAATGGTAAATTGTTGCTTTCACAAGTTTGTTGCTTACACGCATAGTTAGCTCAATATAAAGCCTTGATAACCAGATACAAAATAGCCACTTAATTAGTGAAATGTACCACCTTATAAGTTCTAAATACTTAAAAGCCGAGGCTACAGATAATAACGCGTAAGACCTCGAGGAGATTTATTTATTTTGGTGTGCTGCTCGAGCTCAAGCCTGTGACAGTCAAGTTTTGTCAGACCTGAATGACTGGCAGGAAATTAATGTTCAGCAATTAAGGTTTTTCTTATTTTATTTAAATGAGTTATAAAAAAATTAGATAGTTAAAACGTACATGGAAATTTTTTGTAAATTCATAGATATGAGGACTAAGAAAATGAGGAAGCTATCAAAGAGCTGTCATGCAAAAAATATTTTATTTAATTGCCCAAAATACAAAGTAACATGTTCTAGTAAAAATGTTAATGCAGATATCAGCATTATAGAGCTATTAGCATAATCAGCATTGCATGTCATTTGTTTAAATCACTCCTTATACAACTGATATTACGTTCTGCAACAATAAAATATATTTTTTCAAACAATTTTGATGCGGGCTACTTACTTCACATTTTTCAAGTAGCTCTAATAATATGAAATCATTGATTGTTATTTTTATAAATTTATAAGTATGATTATTATAACGACTTTTTTTAAATCGTGTTACTTAAAAAAAAAACATTTTGTCTTGTAACAGTTGAATATTTTGATTTTTCTAAGATTTTGGTCAAGATTTTTCGAGGGCAATGTTCTCATATTTTTTTGCATTAAGCTACAAGTTGTTGAAGTTCTTTAATTTACAAATACGACTAGTTGTAGCTTAGCGTGATTAACATTAGGCCTTGAAAACATATCCAGACTTAATTAGAACGTAATTATAAATAATGAGAATATGGCTACATTTTTTTTTTTTTCTTAAAATGTTGTCACCTTACTAATTTTTTAAATTATATTTGTCATTGCTACCTTTTTCTAAATCTATTGAAACTTATCCTTATTTTCTACCTACTACTCTTGATATTAACAACATAGCAATGAATAAGATCTGAAAGAATTTTTTAAGCAAATATCTGTTCAGGATAACCCCTGCACTGTATTAACTTATTTGTATTTTTATTACTTATGCAAGAAAAATCTAATCCTGACACTGCTTTTATCACAGTTTGACAAAAGAACTTTGACTCTTAAGATATATTCATAGTTGTATCAGGTATTTTTTCGGTTTTTTAAACTTATCATATGAGAAGCTAATATGGCTGCATAAAACCAAACAGTTGAAAATAAATATATTAAGAAATTATTTACCGAATATCTTCATAACTAAACTTGGAACATTGTCTTCGTAATAGTACTGGTGATCCTGTCCAAGGCAAAATAGAATTATAGGCTTCACCTAAGCTTTCTATGTCACGTATTTCTCTGGACTTTATCACTGTAAAACCATCAATAATATAAAAATGCTCTTTGCCAAATAATAGCAATCCTTCTGCCGTATCTAAGCCCTGGATTCTCGCGCATTTAAACATGTAACTGATCTAAAATTGATGATAATTAGAAAAAAAATTATTTAAATAATTAATTAGTTATTAGTTTTGCCAAAAATATATTTTGCTCTAAATTCTTACTCTTTCGCCATCTTCCAACAATCTCGAAAGTGTCTTATTGTCAGGTAAATTTTGACTGTCGTCTTCTTGTTCTATATCTTCTACATTTTCATCTATTTCACTCCCATGTCTCTCCAAAGTGCTAGATTCAATTGGTGAATCATAGTCTCTTGATGCCCTTTTCAAGTTCAACGATAATTCACTGCCAACTAACTCTTTTTCTGCTTCAAACATCCCTAACAGAGTTCCCGATTGTTTTAAATGATACATTTTACTGTCAAAGCTTGTTGCCACTTTTACTTTCAAGTGTTTCTGGAATAATGTAAAAGTTTTTTTTATTTGTAAGTAAAATTATTATTAGTATAATATCTAAACAACAAACATGTAAATAACATGATAAACACTCAAGAAACTGTGATGAAGGAACTGTGAAATTTAAGAACATAAAAGACACTGCATGTATAATAAATAATGACACTGAAAATCAAATAAATATAAAACTTGTGCCCCTATGAGTTATGTGTAGTAAATAAACATTGCCTTAAATTTAATAATAGTAAATACATAAGAGCTCATAAATAATATTTTCCTCTTATCTGAAAAAACAAGTTGAAGCATGGTTCAAACCTTCCTATGTTGAACAAATTTACTTCACAACAAATAAATCGTAAGCAATGCTACTTTTATACTTTACTTATTATCTAAGAAGCAATAAGATGAATAGTTAAATTTAACTAAGATTTATATTAAATACATTTGTATATAATACTAAACTATTCTGTTATCATAGAACTCTGTTAACATTTATTACGCATAAGTTGGAGTTAAATTATCTTTCTGATTATCCTTGAAATTAAAAATACTATTGCGTTTAACTTACAAGTTATATAAAAAAAAAAACTTACTGAACTAGTCAAGAAGCAAGAACGAGAACTATGGAATGTTTGATGTTATATTGAGTAACATACAGCTTTTTAAAAGATAGTTATACTTGCGTTCTTTTAATATCAGAGTGGTATGCTTATGGCACACTCATATCCATACATAAAGGTTAAGCAAAATAATTTTGAAAGACTTTTTATAAATGGGACAATCAGTCACATTACACTTGCAAAGTTAAAAACAATAACTCGTTAATTTCTTAGACATAATAAGTACACAAAAAAATTTTAAAATAACTACCAATTGGTATGTAAAACCAGTATTATCCAATAGACTAATATATGTACGTTCGAAGTTTTCCTCATTAATTCAAATACTTGAAAGTAACCGCTGTACAAAGTGTGTCTAATCGAGTTATATTTATAGCTGATAAATTTTATGATAGGAAGAACACTTTAGGAATTTTACGTAATAATGATTATACACAACCTTCTATAAAAAATTAATGAATGTCAATTTACGTACGAAAATAAAAGTTTTTCCTCATTATAACCGGTAATTAGTAAAATTTTGCTCAAAACATAAAAAAATCTTGATGGTCAGTTACTAACGACCAAAAGTCTTGTTTCCAATAAAATGTCTCAATTTTCTAATTTAGACCTTCTACTTTAAATGTTAGCTGAGGTTCAGTTTAACAACTTGGTAAGGCAAGGGTTAGGTTTATTTTATCTTATTGTATGAAAGTCAAATAACCACGGAAACAAACTGCAATCTAATTAAAGTAAATAATTTTTCAATCAAGCAAGATAAACAAGTATTAAAATTTCATGATCAAAATTTAACATAATAATTCCTAACAAATGTGTATCATTTCCTAATTATTTTTCTTTTTATCTAAATATTCAGCACATACATCATCCATCTTACTTAAAAAAATTCATTAACCTATAAACATTTTAAATAATTTTATCAAAGGCTTATAAACTTCACTTTTCTGGAATCACAACAATTTTTAGTTTAATCAATTAACTGATACACTTATTATTGTAAGCAAGTAAGAGTCACTTGGCAATTTAAGATAAGATAACTTACGTTATTAATTGTAACTAATTCAACTTTAGTAAATGTAGAAAGGCTGTAAATACATAAATTTACAAATAAATTCTGAGGTAAGAAAAATTTCGCATGGATTATGAATTATTATAAATTACAAATTAAAAAAAATGCCTAAGTCTAAAAAACTTTTAAATGAGAGAAAATTCTATACTCTCAGGCGTCAAAATTAAAGCAACTGTTTAAAATGTCTGTAATCAATTTCAATATCCAAAATCTTGCAATAGAACTTCGTAATACTAGTGTTACTCACGAATGTCAACTCGTTATATTCTTGTTGTTTCTAGACCTCCTTGACAGTCGAAAAGAGAAAAGAGTTCCGATCGTATAGCTTATAAGATTAACAGTTAAGAAGATGGTTGGAATTTTTTTCTATCTTAATCTACGTTGTTGGAGTTGATTAGCTGTGTCATTATTTGTTATACGCACAACTTCTGCTTTTTTTGCAGCACGCGAAAGAGAGAGGAACAGAATATTGAAACGCGCACGTTCTCCTCTCTTTTCGTAGCACACGATAGAGAGAGAGAGAGAGAGAGAGAGAGAGAGAGAGAGAGAGAGAGAGAGAGAGAGAGAAGTTGAAACGCGCACGCACTCTCGTAGAATTATACAATGGCTGCCTTTACTTCATAAGCAACGTGGCATTTTCCTTGCCATTGGAGCGTACGTGCACTAGCGTAGCTTCAAGATGGCCAGCTAAGAGCTCCTGCTCATTTGCACAGCACACTTTCTTTTTCTTTTGTCTATTTGGCTCGACGGACTTTGTTCAGATGGAGTTACCTGCTCGTCATGCTCGAAGCATCGATGTAATATACTGTATGATTTTGATGAGCGCTGATCACAGGATGAAAAAAAGAAAAATGATGTATTTACCTTTATTTTTCATATTTTTAATTACAAGATTTTTCTCCTTTATTTTTATCATAAAAAATGTCAGTGCGTTATACAAAAAAATTGCTGGAACTTTGCACTGCTCATCTTTTGGCAAAGCTTACCAGTCATTACCTCAAGAAAATGGAGCATACCTTCAATGCTCTTCACTTGTGGACTGAATCCAAAGATGTTTTGCTCTGGCTTAACAAACTTCCTTCCAATTAGCCAGTATTTATCGCGAACCGCTGTGCTAACATTCAAACTATTGTTCCCTCAGCTAAATGGCATTACGTAAAGGGTAACCTCAATCTTGCTGACATAGCATCGCAAGAAATTTACTTGGAACAAATCCAGTAATTAAATCAATGGTACGAAGAGTCACAACTACTCCATCAACTGAATGCAATTGATCCATAATATAAAGATACGATAAAGGTAGCTAACGTTTCTAAAACTTCTGTTACCAAATATCCCAGTTGGAATCTTTTATCACATTATTCTGATTATAAGAAACTTGCTCGAGTAACGGCTTATTTTCTTCAATTTGTGGTAAAGCTATATTTTGCACTTAAAAAAAAATTAGTTTAAAAAGAGAAGATCAAGTTTAGAAGGTTCCCGTTTCTGGAGTTAGCAACTTATGAACGAGCTCATAACTCATTTCTTAATCCCAAGGAAAGCTACCAAGTAGAACTTTACTGGGTCTCTCTACATTAAAAACACTTTTTTAATGTTAAACTCAAGATCTTTAAATCGAACGTCAATCTTCCCATTGATCAATAAAAATCATTACCTTCAGGAAGTAAGCTTGCGACATAAAATAAAAAGTAGTGAAGAGTTGTTTCCAGTGCCTCATTTATTTTTGAAATAACGACATTTATCTCCACCTTTTTCCCTTTTGTAATTTCTGCTTTCACGTTATACTACAACAATTTAGTAATTCTTAATCGTGTACAATTACATAAGCCGTCCGATATACTCAAATTTCTAAGTAGCATTATTATTGTGTCGATTTTTGAATGAAGTACATGAGGCAGTATACCTTTAAATGTATTATTCAATGTTTTTGTTGGAAAATTTTAAAAAATTGATGGGTCTGTGCTGTGTACGTGTGTATCGAGGGCTGTGAAAGTGAGTGAGGAATAATAGTGAAACGAACTTACGTAAGAACCTTTGAACGATACACTACGAAGAGCGATAAGAGCTGGTAGCAAATAAGCACGTTAGTCAACAGTAATGTAATGAAGTTTTTTAATAAAGTAGTGATCAGATATATATATATATATNTTAATTGCATGTGGAACATTTTGGAACTGATAAGATAAAATAGCGGGTCAATAAAAACAGATAATGTTACAGAAAATACTGTAAGACCCTGTGGAAAATGTTCAACTGTAAAAAACAATCTTCCAAAATTTAAAATATTACTGTTATATATGCATAAGTTACGGGCCATATTTATCGACCACGTGTTCAAAAGGATACAATAGTGGTGACGAGGTTTTTTTTTGTTGATCACGAAGTTATTGAAAAAAGGGGAAGAACAGTAGTTATCATTAAAATAAGAAAAGTCAAGTGATTCAAAGGAAGAGCTGGCCAAGAAAAGTACCAGTACAATGGCTGCTGTTAAGGCAAATCTAGTGATAAATCTATTCTTACCTGGAAAATCGCATTGGAATCGCAGGCTGAAGAGATTTGAAGGGACTTTGAACATCATAAAAGTTGCAGAAGAAAAGCTTAAAGATGCATATTTATTGCATTACGTTGGTAAAAAAGCTTACGACATGCTGCGTAATACGTGCGGCATTACTGCAGTGGTTGCGAAGAAGAACACCGATTTAACAGAGAAGCTGCAAGAAATATACGTGCTGGTTACCTTGGAGACCGCCAAAAATTTTAAGTGCAACTGTTAGAAACCATAACCCGGGAAGTCAGTACATGATTTCGCGACAGAGTTGAACAAACTAAGTGATACTTGTAGTTTTGTTGATTTCTTATTGAAAACTTTACGTTATCAGTTTGTCTACGGTTAAAGTAATTAAAGCAGATTACTTGAAATAAAAGATCTCACTTTTGATAAGGCTTTACAAACAGCTATTTCCTTGGAGACGTATGAGACAGAAACTTCTCAGTTACATGTCCGTACGTAAACTACGTACACGGGTACAAAAAAATGACAAGTTTGGCAAAATAAACTTTAAGAGGTATCAAGCTAGTATACAGTCAAGCAGTAAGAAGATACTGTTATCGCTATGATAATACAAACTATGAGGTGAACAGTTGTAGTCTGCCTAAAAATATAATGAGCAATCCTTGTGATATGCTTGGACATCACAAGATGGTTTACATGAAGAAAAGACAAATATGTTACAAAAGGATATGGCAATGAACAAAGAAAGTGTTGAAGTGCAACGTAAAGATATTTTGAATATTGCTCCGTTGAAAAAAAC